CCTCCATCTGCACCCACTCCTTCAGGGTGTTTGCAGCAGGGACCAGGATTTCCAATGGCTTTAAAGCCTGTGCCTGTGCTCCAAGCCCCCAGCCTTAGCTCAACAAAGCAGTTACCAATCCATTGCCCAGAGATGCAAGGCTGGAGGCTCAGTTCCAAATATCAATGTTGATATCATCCACAAAAAGAGCTGAGTTTAAATTTGGGGCATCATTCAAGGCAGGAATTTAGGGGGTTCTGAGCACAGGTCAGAAATCTCCCTTTTCCCCATTAACCTCTGCTGTATCTTCCACTTCTGACAAGGAATAATCCACATATTTCCCAAATCACAAGTCATCTCCCACTGCTTGAAAGACCTGCGAACACCTGCCTTTAGATGGCACTGAGTTAAACAATATCCATGAAATCCAGCAGTGGAAAGGGCTGTTGCTCCCACCAACGCTTAGAAACATTTTGGAACTGATGATGTGCAACAAAGGAGGAGAAAGAGCATTTTGTGCCCAGAAATGGGGACACGAGAGGCTGAGATTACCCCGTCTGAACCAAAAGCACTGCTAATGTGTGCTCACCCACCTCTTGCTAAAGCCAGGAGCACCATTAATTTGGCACGTTTAGCTCTGAAGTTCAATTTAAAAATTAATCAGGAGGGTAGGAGAGCAGCTCTGGGGAGGGTCCCTGCCACCCTTGAGCCCTGGGTGGCCCCTAGGAGTACTTGGGCTATTTAAAGCCCCCCCCACCCCCCCCCCCCCCCCCCATCTCTCCCCCGACCTATGGATCCAGTGTAACCCAAGCTCAAAGGGCAAGAATTTGCCCTTTGGATGTTTCACAATGTCCTGGATCGATAAACCTGCATGGGGCCAGTTAGAGGTGACACAGCAATGCCACCAGCCCAGGGCATCAGCATTCCCCAGGCCCCAGCCCAGGATAAATCAGTAATTCCCTATTTCTGATGCCGAAGGGGTCACACTGGTTGGATCCAGGGCCAGGTTCTCCCCTCTCCAGGTCAAGATCTGCTACACAGGGACACACCGTGACCCTCCCAGCTCCAGCTCCAGCTCCATGTCGCAGCGGCCACATGGGGACACTTCTCTGGGTCTCAGGGTGTCCCTGCACTTGAAGGAGAACAGGGTACATGATGCCCATGGGAGGAAAAAACCCATGGGCTGCCCGCTGCAACCCTCACCTTGCCATGAGGCCAGGTCCAGGGCAGAGCATCCCTGTGCCTCGGGACACATTTGCGATGTGGAGCCCTACAAATCTGAGGTGTGGGTCTGGGGGGGGGGTCCAGCCCTGGTGGGGGGACAGCACAAATCAGGGAGCAAAATCCCAGGCCTAGAGCAAAGCGTCGCAAAGCCCAGAGCCAGCACTGACTCCTGCGCTGGTCCCAGTCAGGCCAGTTGCCTTTTCTGCTGCCAGCTCCCCACCATGATGCTGGGCTGGACTTTGTCATCAGTCTTGCAGGTCTGGGACAGCAGAGTGCCCTGGGAAAGCCAGGCATGGCATCCCAGAGGGGGTGGAACAGGCCGCATGAGCATCCCACCCACCGGCAGTGATTTAGTGGGCCAAGTTCACCCTCCCAAGGCAGGGAAAGTCCCCCAAGCCTTGGAGACCAGCCTGCTTCTGGCAGGTGATTCTCCTGCTAAACTCTTGCAATAGCAACGATTAGGTCTGGGGTCACCTCTGGTAGCCCAACACGGATACTCCACATGGGGTAAGGGCTTTTCCCTCAGCCCTGCCTCGGGCACTGCGGGATACCGGTATGATTTGCTCCCACAAAAACCCCTGATAATAAAGAAGATCCACCTCAACATGTTAAGGCTGAATTTGCCAAATCATTGTTCCTAGAAGGGACTGATTTACACCAAAGTCAAGCAAAGTGCAGGCAGCAGTGACACAACCCCCTCCTCGCAATCCACCCCTTCCCTGAATCCCTGACCACACATTTGCAGATCCATCCCACAAATCCCAGTGGTTCTCAGCTGGGAATCAGCTCCGGACAGTGCCGCATCCCCAACCACATCCCCCATGGTCCTGCTGCAGGGAGGCCCCAACCAGCAGATGGGGGTTTCCTCTTCCCAAGCGTGAAAGCAGAGTGGATAAAACTAAGCCCTGACTGGGAATAACTGGGGGAGATCCTCATTTCTCTGTCGCCGGCATTGCACTGCCTGTCTCTCCTCCCGTGGTGGCTCTGTGCATCTTTATCTAGCCAAAAGCAAGACATTGGGAAGAGAGGTTTCCTACGCGATGCCTTTATGGAGGTGTTTGTCTGTGTAACCCCAATCCTGCTAAAACCATCCCTGTTGTAAGTTCCCGCAGGAAACAGCCCCCCGAGTCCTGGGGCCCCATCCTCACTGGATGCCCACTAGCTCTGTTATGGGGGGAGCATGGACCATCAGCTCCTCGTATCTCTGGAGGAAGAGCCAGAGCCTGGAGGTGTAGGTGTCCTCATTGTACGGCAGCTTCTTCTGCTTCAGGTACTGGGAGACAATGGGTTTGATCTGCAAAGGCAAAGGCAAAGTCACCTCCGTGCGGGATGCTCCAGCATTTGTACAAGGTTCCCAGCCTGAGGCATCGCCAAGCTCCCTGCAAGGTGCCTAGAAAACCCTTCCCAAATGCCCAAAAGAGGGCTGGAGACAGCAGCACCAACTATAACTTCTTTATCATGAAAATTAAGAGGAAGGTGGTTTCCGACTGCAGCACCGCAGGGAGCTGACCCTAGCAAAATGCCTTGGCAGGACAAAATGCCTTTGCAGCTGGGAAGCTGCTGCAGGCTGGAACTGGGATCAGGGGAAGCAGCAGGGAGTGGAAACTCGGGAGAAACAGGAGTGGGGATGGAGGGAGGCAGGTTAGGGGCTGTTGCAAAGCAGTGAGGGGTCCCTAGCATGGGGGGAGCAGCACAGGAAGGTCCAGTTGCAGGGAGAGGAGGCGCTGGGGAGAGCTTGCAGCAGCATGGCAGGGAGATGGATTGTCTTGTCCCCATATCACCTCCCAACATGGTCGTCCACCCAGCGGGGCTGTCTCACCTTCAAGCACATGTTGTCGGAGAGGCTGGGGAAGAGGTGATGCTCCACGTGGCAGCTGATGAGCGAGTGGCCGAAGGACCAGTCGAGCAGGGCGTTGCGGGGCAGGTTGAGGACACCCAGGCTCATGAGGTGGATCCGCTTCGGTTTCCGATCGGCCGCGAACATGGGGAGGCCGATGTGCTGCGGGAAAGGCAGGGTGGGGACCCCAGAGTACCCCCCCCCAGCCCCTTCCCAGCAGAGCCACCCGCAGCTCTGGCCATGCGAGGGCACGAAGCTGTCAGCCAGGCTGAGCCAGATTCATGGGTTTGGCTGCCAACCCCAGTGCTGGATTCATCCCTAAAGTCACTCCATCCTATGCTTATCTGTCCACAGACCCACTGAGGAGCAGCCCGGCTCCGTCCCCCCAGCACACCCACACTTTGAGCCACCAGCCCCTCTCCATCCCAGGACCCGCAATACCAGCTGCACCGACACCTGCAAACACACCAACTCCCCCCGGTCCTGCAAACCACCACAGAGGACATCACCCTCCAAACCCTTTGCATCCATCTGCCCTGACATTCTCCCAGGACCACCACCTTCCACCCCAGCACCACCAGTCTGATCCTCCCCGTGACAACATCGGCACGAGGCAGGTGACAGCTGAAGCCGCTCGCCTTAGGATGGCACAAGCTCCAGGCAGCAGTGTCAGGGCTTGTCACCAGCGCTGGGTTGGGGCTGGCCTGTCTCCAGCACCGTTGGGACATCTTGAAGCTTCAGGTCTCTACCTGGAATATGTTGACATGGATGTAGGGATGGGCCAGGAGGGAGCGGGTGAGCAGCATGCAGAGCAGGGCAGACCACGTCGACTGGAAGCCCGAGACGTGGAGCAGCAGCCAGTAATGGCAGTAAAGACCCAGAAACATGCAGCAGAGAGTCCGGAGAGCTGCTTTCCACTCCACATTCCTCAACAAGTCTGCACAAGGAAGAAAAGGAACATGAAAGAGGTGCTGACGTTTCCCTGTCACCACTGCTGCTCCAGCGGCCAGCCTGCCCAGTGTGCCGATGACCCTACAGCCCAACCTGCTCTTCAGCTCCCTTTCCCCATCCTCCAGGTTGACCCAAACCCCCCAGCCCTGCCGACCTACTGGTTTTTGGGGTGGGGGCCAGGACCCCTCCCCAGGGCAGTGCTCTGCAGGCTGCAGCCCCGGCAGCAGGTCCAGCTGCGCATCATCACACAGGATTTGGATGCATCTTCTTTTCTTGCAACTTGCCAAGTCATTGTCTGTATTTTGGCATTGCCTAGAGCTGTGCTGTTCAGGCCGGAGGGCTGGGCTTCCTCAGCCTTTTACAGTTTTCTGGGCTCTTCTCCCCAGTCGTTTCCCGACATCGTTATAGCCCCCGAGCTACCGCTTTGCGTGCCCGAGCTCGTTGTCATCCAGCGCACCCCATGCGATGCTCTGACCGGCCAGAGACCTACGTGTGATGCTGAACCCTGCTACAGCCAAGGGTCTGAATTAAAGGAGAGCAAATTTGGGGTGTTTCTTGCTCACGATGGCTTTTGCCAGAGCTCCCAGCATCTAACATAGGAAAAAGTGAAGTGTTTTCTCTCCTTTCTGCTGGTGCTCAGATGCAGCAGACGCCTTCCCCAGAGCAAGAGCAGCATCGCCTGTCTTTGCTGCAGCCCTGTGTCCCGCTGTGGGCTGGCGTAGTTCATGTGATGCCTCCCAACAAAGCAGGACCCTTTGGTGGTGGGGTGAGACCTGGACAGTAACGAGCTCGCCACACCCAGCACCCCATCCCAAGGTGGTTGGGACACGTACCCAGTGCAACCAGAGGGGTTATGATGGGCACTGCAAGAGGCGCGATGAACATGTAGACGTAGCGATTCAGGAAAGGAAGCTTCCAGGTGCTGGAGTCCCCCAGGCCAATGACGTTGGTGTAGCCGTGGTGGATCTTTACGTGGTTATAGGTGGCCTGCTCGGCCGTGAAAGCTGAGCAGAGCTGGGAGGGAAGAGAAAGGAAAAGAGATGCCTACAGCCACGGTGCCAGGGTCAGGCACTGCCTGGCTTGGGCTCATGGGAGAGGCACCCAGGGGAGATGCTCTGCACCCACAAAGAAGCACGCAGGGAAGATGGTCTGCACCCCACAGGCCCCAAACCAGTCTGGAAATGGACTTCTTAAGAGTTAAGCACTGGAAACCATTCCCACCATTCCCTGCAACTCATTATCCTGCTCTGCAGCCCCATGGCCAAGGGGACCGACACAAAACGCCCCAGCCCAGCACATGGCAGAGGCTGTCCCCAGCCAGGGGCTCACTCCCTGCCCCGCTGCCTCCAGGCAAAGCCCCACATGCAGGGACGTTCGTGGTGCTCCTGGTGTAGAGTTGCTTTTCGTCTAACTCTCCTGCACATGGATCAGGAAGGGTTTGGATCCATCTTGTTCTCTGGTGGCTGTTCCTGAAGGGCTTGAGGTGCTGGCAAGATGCTGATGGGGCTTTTGGGGGGGGCTGCCACCTGAACCCCACATCCCCACTCACCTCAATGAAGAAGATGGCCCACACTTTGCCCCAGGACTTGGACTCGGTCAAGGCGTTGTGGCTGGCCAGGTGGCTGCCCTTCACGGTCAGGGTGTGATGCACCACGCCGAGGGTGAGGACACCCACCAGGAAAGGGATGGCCTGGGCTGACCGCAGGCACAGGAACCCTGTGGAGAAACCAGCCGGGCAGGACCTTGGCCACGCACACATTCTGCAGCCCTCCTTGCCTCTGAGCTGGGCTGGAGGTGTTGCTACAGCCAAACATGTCAGCCACTGCCCTAAACCTGTTTTTCAGATGTAGTTACAGATATTTAAACTGCCTGAGTCAGAAAGTTTCCCTCTGCATTGCCCTGCACGACAGGACCAGCCGTGTTTGCCGTCGTGCTGAAGGCTTGGCCGCTTCTAGTCACGATGGCACCGGGCGCTGCTGGTGCCAGGTCCCATCCCACAGCTCTGGCTGGGATCCCACCGGTGACAAACACAACCCTGCCATGATTTCAACATCCCCAGGAGTTCAAAAGCAAGAGAAGGTACCAACTGCAGCTTTCCAACCATGCTGCCAGAGCCCCGCGCTCGACCGTGTCTGCCTGCACCCACCACGGCCGATGCCATTGTCACCAAAACCACCACTGTTTCCCTGTCCCATGGTGGGGCATGGATGGAGCACACCACTCCCTGTCCTGCCCTGTGCCCATCTGCCCGGGCACTGTCCCCTCACCCCTGGCCATACCCCACGTGCCACCGTCACCCACTGTGCGTTTCCAGTGGGGTCAGGGTGCCCCACGGTATGGGGTGAAGGTGTTACTGCGGTTTTGTTCCAGGCTTAATAGGCTGCTAACAGGTTTCCAGCACAAAGTTGTACCAGCACTGCAAAACCTGTGAGGAGGCAGCAGGACC